CGATGTCATTCGATAATGAAAATTTGGCAACAACTAATATCAAATGGATTGGATTGCACTGTGTCGATTGGAGAAGGCAAGTTCTCCCTGCTAGATAGATGAAGCAATTTTTGCAAATAGATGGGTGACTGACATCTTATTTTAATTTATAGATACAATATTTCTTTAAGTTCCCTAATTCCTCTCTCGGCAGCAGACAGGAAGAAAGCCTACCAGTTGTTACAACGTGATTATCTTCTTGAGGAGTGGAGGTATCAGTAAATATTATGTCGACTCCTTTTTGATAGGAATCTATTTACGAATTTTTCACATCCTCAAAATTTCAACAGAAACGAAATCTGTCGGATGCTATACGCAGGCAAAAAGGCCGAGATGCAAAGTTTGTGTTGTAAGGAGAATGGTGATCTGTTTCATTATTTGCGAACGAAGATTATGAATTCTAATTCTTGGTTGTAATTGCGTTTACGATTGGTGAGAAAATTTTTTATGAACTTTGATCCCGAGTTTCACTGTACTCCAATATTCCATACCATCTACAAGCTACTTTATCCTGAAAAATAAATTATTAATATTGTAAATTATATTTACTTTTAAAAATCAATTATGTAAATTGTTGGTCGATTAAAAAATACAACATACTGTACATAAATATTTTTTTAAATATGTCAATGCAACTTTGTTTATCAAACTTAATTGAAATTACAATCGAATAATGTACAGTGGTGCTCAAAATTATTTGGACAAATTTTTTAAACTAAAATATAATTAATTAATTAAAAATAATATAATTTAAATATACTGTAAAGTAGAAGTTTTGAGAGATCTTATTTAAATTTTTAATTCGTTTTTTATAATAAATATCATATTTTAAAAATCATATTTTTAAACTTTTTAAGATTTTTAATAACCAATTTTATATTATTAAAATAAAAAAATAAAGAATATAAAAAAAATTCCATGGTCTAATTAAATTATAATTTTAAAAAAAAAAATCTGGTATTTCTAAAAATAATTTTAATATCATTTAACAAAAGTTTTATTTATAATTATTAAAAAAAAATATTAAAAACATTGATTTTATTAAAAACAAAAGATTCGAAAGTTTAATAAATAACAATTCAAAAATTCAAAACCTTTTTATCAAGAATAATTTTCTTAATTTTTAATCTATTTATAATTATAATTTTTATTTAAATATAAAAATTATTAAATAATATTTTTAAAAAAAAATTAAGATATTGAAAATTTTATTTTTTTATCAAGATTTTATTAATATGTTAATTGAAAAAAATGATAAAAAATTATATAAATCTAATTTTAAATAAGTTTGAAAAATCATATATTTTTAATTATTAAATTAATTATTATATATGTTACTATGGTTCCAAAAATTGGAATCATATAGACTCGCATGGACTTATATATATATAAAAAACATAAGTGGATTATAACTCATCTATTAAATTTACTATAAGAGTTGAAATCGAATGGAATCGAACACAGAATCATTAGGATTCTTATATGTCACTTATTTATTTGTTTGGTTTTTTTAAAATAAATATTATTATTTTATTATTTTATAAAAAAATATAAAAATTTTATATATAAAGAAAATAACAATATCTCTTATATAATTAATTAATCAATAAGTTTAAAAGTAGATACAACAGATTTATATTATTTACAAAAGCAAACTTTTGACAATTCTTATAATATTAGTACTTATAAATACAAATATAACAATAACAATATATATAGATAATCAAAATATAATACAAGCAATATAATCCAAACTTTCAAAAAAATAATAAAAGTGACAAATAAATTTATAACAACTTTAATAATAGACAAGAATAAATTTAGAAAAGCAATAACAAATTTTAAAAAAATCAAAGCATATGCAAAGAATAGCAACAATAAAAAATAAAAAAACTAGCAAAAAAAAAAAAAAGAATTAGGTTATAAGTAAATAATGAAAATCAAAAGTTTAACAAATTAATAATCTTATTTATATACAGTATTTTAATAAAATAATGAAAATCTAAATATCAATATTGGTAGATTTATAAAACAATAGCAAAATAGCAAATGAATTAGTATATAAGCCATGTAAAAAAGACACAAGGTATGATTCAGAACAAATAATAATAAAAAAATAAATTAAAAAGAATATAGGCCAACCTGTTACTATAAAAAATTATTAGCTTTAATACCAATCAATAAGATTATAATCACAAAGTATTTAGATACAAACTTTTCAATAACAAGTTATCAACAAAGAATAAGTTAAATACAAGAAAACCTGACTTCTATAAAAATAGAAAATATCCTTGATGCAATCAATAGAAAACTACAAAACATATCTTCTAAAGCAAGAGCACTTATGTGCCCGATTACAGGTCGGGACAGTATCTTGGGTTTGAGTTTCCTGGTTAGTCATGATTATACTATATGATAAATTTTCAAGTGGTGTTGGGCTTCGACGCTGACGTTCTTTTTTCTTATTATAAACTATAATTTCATGTTGCAAAAAATCTTCAATATTTGGGTCTATACCACATGCTTCAGTGGATTACGCTTTCTTGTAGTTAGACGTTTGAATTTCATTTGATACACTGAGTCAAAAATTCTGTCGAATTCTATCAAAAGTTTGTAGCTTAAAACAAAAAAATAGTGTGAAATCCGTTATACGTTATGTATATTAATTACCAAAAGCAGTCGCGAAGTGCCTATACAGTATATTAAATGATAATTTGACCGGGACTTTCGAGTCCTTTATTTATTGTTAAACTATGATTTGATCCAATACATGCTGTACGTTTAGAATTACAGTACATAAATTTAACAAAAAAATGTTACCAGCTTTCCTAAAGGAAAAATAACGAAATAAATAGATACTGTATATATGAATAAGTTATAGTACACATTAGCGTGAGCAAGCCTTCGGCTAATAAATAAATAAAATTAATCGAAAAAATGTGTATTATGCTTCAAGTGCTAAAAGCTGCTTTCGGAATCTAACTCGCAATTGGTCTTTCTTACAACCTGTCCAACTATACGGAATATAATATTCTTCATATTTTCTAACATAAATATCAAGAGGAATATTAGAATTACATTGTTTATAAAATTCGATCCATTTAGTACGCCATTGATTAAAATTGTTCTTGAGTCTGAGAATTTTTTACTTTACGTCGAGTTAAACCTAGAAATTTCTTATCATCTGGAGTATTATCATTTGATAAACTGTTCCAGGCAAGTCGTGCATCTGACGGTTCCCTTTCTCTAAAATTTCTCCAAAGTCTTTGTATAACCCTTGCACAATCAAACTCGGTTCGTGGTCTTAAGCAACCATAAACGGATTGTGGTCTTGAGCATTCATAATCATAATGATCTTTCATTAAATCGAATTGACTTGCTTTTGGACCTAAATTAACATTGTTTCATACAACGAAAACATATTGCAGTACCATCTTCATATGGTCTACCTCTGCTGTAATCATATTTATCAAAATTCGCACCTTGAACATGTGAAGCGTGGAGACAGTAAATTAAATAAAAAATCTTATATGAAAATTATTTACAAATGAAAAAAATTATTTTTAAATACTGCTTGTGAAATTGCTATAAAAAGAGGTGAGTTATGCCTTTCAAATAAATACTGTATATTAATGGTAAATCCCATTTGCGATGGAAATGTGTCAAGGGTCATGAATGGGATGCGACACTTGATAATATAAAATATCAAAATACATGGTGTCCATATTGCGCAGGCCAAGCTAAAAATACTCTCGATATTGCTAAAATGATTGCAATCAATAAAGGTGGAGAGTGTATTTCAAATGAATATATTAATGGTTCATCTCATTTAACATGGAAATGTATTAGAGGTCATGAATGGAGTGCAACACTTCAAAGTGTAAAAAATAAAGGTTCGTGGTGTCCCATGTGTGTTGGACGGAATCGATCTATTGAGTATATGCAAAATTTGTCCCAATTTTTGACCATTTGATAATCAGGTCGCGTTCCCTAGCATAAATACATAATTAGTAATATACTCAACCCCATCTGATTTTCTATCCCACTGGTTTGGCCCGGAGCCTTCAACATCAGACAACCTCGGAGGTCATCCATGCCCCAGTGGAGTCATTGCCAGTCCAGCCCAGAGCCTTGAACATTAGATAACCCCGGAGGTCACCCATGCCCTGACAACGGCTTTATGAAAAATAGTAAATCCAGAAATCTATTCTTTTAACTTAACGATCTATATCTATTTCAAAAAGAAATCTAAATAAGTTTATATCCCTCACAAAATAGGAAGAAAAAGTCGTATTTTTTATGTGATATTCCAGTTTATGCAAGCGGAGCATTCTAAAATGTCGCGTCCGGTTCACAGGAGAAGGCCACCCTTAAACCAGAAAATCACCTTGGCAGTAAAAAAAAGAGCGCGTTAAAGGGGTTTATATGGGATCGTCCAATTAAAAATGTGCGTAACCAAGTGAAATCGGATCACAAGATTTTTTAAGTTTAAAAATTAAAACCCGACGTGGGTTAAAGCTTTATTAACAAGAATAAACTATATATTAATAATTACACAGTAAACCTGGATATAATGAAGTGGTCCGTTCCGACCTTTTTTTTCATTATATCCAGGTTTTTCATTATATTCAGATTTTTTTATTATATAATATATAGTAAAAAAAACTTCA